CAGACCTTCGCTCCGACCCCGAAGATGACTACTCTTCGGGTGCTACTACACGTACCAGCACAGCGTGACTACGAGCTTCACTCCCTCGACTTCTCTACTTCGTTTCTTCAGGGCAGTCTACACGAGCAGGGCTTCACTGGTACCTTCCCTCCTGGGACCCAGTGGCTCCTCCGGCGCCCCGTCTACGGCCTGCGGCAGGCTCCCCGTGAGTGGCACAACACGCTGCGTGCTACGCTTGTTGACCTGCAGTTCTTTCCGTCCTCTGCAGACCCCTCGCTCTTCGTTCGTGCTGGCCAGACTCCGTTCTACATCCTTGTTTACGTAGACGACCTGGTCTTCGCCACGGCAAACTGGGACGCACTGGCCTCCGTGAAGGCAGAGCTGCTGAAGAGACACACATGCACTGACCTTGGAGAACTGCGCCACTACCTTGGCTTGCAGATCTCCCGGGACAGAGCAGCGTGCACCATAACTTTGACTCGGTCACACTTGGTGCGCCAGGTCCTTCAGAGGTTCGGCCTTCAGTTCTCCTCCGTACAGCCTACTCCTCTGCCTTTAGACCACAGGCTCTCCGCTCCAGTTCCTGAGGAGTCAGCAGAGCCCAGTGGTCCTTACGTAGAGCTGGTGGGTTGCCTCATGTACCTGATGACTTGCACTCGCCCTGATCTCGCATACCCTCTCAGCATCCTGGCTCACTTTGTGGCTACAGGCAGACACCGACCTCAGCACTGGTCTGCAGCTAAGAGGGTTTTGCGCTATCTTGCAAGTACATCGGGCATGGGGTTAGTGCTAGGAGGACGTAGGCCAGTGGTCCTTACTGGACACACAGACGCTTCTTGGGCAGACGATGCTGAGACCCTCAGGTCCTCACAGGGCTACTGCTTCATCCTTGGTTCAGGTGCCGTCTCGTGGAGAGCTACCCGCTCCTCGTCTGTTGCCCAGTCCAGCTGTGAGGCCGAGATCTACGCCGGTGCCATGGCGGCACAGGAGCCCGCTGGCTGACCTTCTTGCTCACTGACTTAGGTGAGCGGCCTAGCTCAGCCCCGGTCCTGTACGCTGACAACAGGGCCATGATCCTCATGTGTCAGGAGCCTCAACTCGAGGGTAGAGCGAAGCACATTCAGCTGCGATACTTCCTCCTGCGTGAGCTCCAGCAGCGTCGCCAGGCGCGCGTAGTACACTTGGCCTCCGGTGCCAACACAGCTGATATCTTTACGAAGGCGCTTGCGCCTAAAGATCATCAGCGGCACTATGTACAGCTGGGTCTCGTTCCTGTAGCCTCTCACTTGCTAGGGCCTTGACTTTGTACTGTCCTTTTTACATATATCTTACCCAGACTGGCCTTGTGGCCTCTCCCAGTGGCTGGACTAGTAGTGCCGCCCTAGGCTTGCTCTTGCATTGTCTGTACTCCTTTTGACTGGTCTTTAGACCCTTGTCTCGGAGGCTGGACTAGTAGTGCCGCCCTGAGCTGCTTCTTCCCTTGTTAGGCACTTCCTCTATATAGTCTAGGGGGTGTGTCAAATGTAACTTAGGTCGTTACTGTCGACTATACTGGATTGTGCCTTAGAGGGTACAACACCCTAGTCTATATATCCTTGTGCACACACATTCTAGTTCAATCATTTTCTTTCTAATAAAGCAAACTCTCAAGGAAAGCTATTGAAATTTGCTTGTAATCTCCCTAATACCGGTGTTGTCAATATTGGACATCGAGGGAATGGAAGGGCGCTGAGGCAGTGGTCCCCCGATCGACGAGCTGGCAACCTGGGATGGGAGGGACTGGCGCTTGTCAGCCCCACCATGGTCCCTGACAGGGCCTAAAATTGGTTTTAGGCCACTCTTTGAAATCAGAGTAGGAGAAAAAAATACCTTGACGGTCAGAGCTAAAAAAAATCTAAGCTTGATTGGGCAAGGTAAAAAAATTCGAAGTCTTCGCTTTAAGTGTAGAACTCATTGCACCATTTCTGGCCTTGGCCATTTAAGGAACATTTTACATAAATGAAGTGGGCAGCACTAAGGTGTGGAAAGAAGTGTGTAGCGGATTTTCGCGTTCTGGGGGAGATTGGGGGATGGGATGGGACGGAAAACGATTCTGGGGCGCGAGAGGGGAATCAGATTTACATGGGCGGCAGAGGGGCGGGAAAATAACCATCTGCTCGTGATTGGTTGGGTGTCAGAAGGGCGTATACGACGTGACGTGTGTTGCTGTGATGTGGAGGACTTAACGAAAAAGAATATGTAGCGGGGGTGTGGGTGGGAGGCATGTCTCTTGTGGGGGACTTAGCCACTTCTGGGTTGCGAGGGGGTGAGGGAGTTATGACTCTGGCTACGACTTAGCCAAAATTGCTGGTTTGCATGGTGCGTGGGGTGGGAGGAATGACTCTGGCCGCCAGGGACTTAGTCGAAATTTTTGGGTTGCAAGGTGTTTTGGGGGAAATGTTTCTGGCCGCCGAGGACTTGGTCGGAATCTCGGAGTTTCGATACCAGGGTAGTATTCAGGACGCCCTAGAGGGTCAGGGTTCGGGGCCCCGCAACCCTAGTTTCGGCAGGGTAATATTTTCGTAACACTTTTTGGATCAGGGTAATAAATTTCGTAAGTCTAATTTTTAATACTAATTGAAAAAATGCTTTGAAAAATCAGGGCATTTTACCCGGCTAATTTGGGCCCTGGTCCCCGACCGTCTACTGTTGTCTCTGCCTCTGCCCCCCGGGGAAATGATGAAAAAGGGTCCTCCCTTTGCCAGAGGCGTGACCAAAAAAGGTCTGGCAGCTATTTGCCCCGAGACCTTGTCTCCGAGCCTGTACTACACTTATTCGTCATACAATATGCACACATCACAAGGACACAAATTTGCAGGTTCATGGGGGCGCTTCGTGTCGCAACCCTGCCGTGGGACCTTTATACGAATTCAATGTACTGTATTAGGGCCAAAAAAAAAAAAAAAACTAAAATCCATAGGGGCACCGCATGCGACTCGGGGTGGCATCAACCCTAAACTCGCAAAGGGCTGCGTGTTTAGGGTTGATGCCATCTGGAACGGAATTCCGTCCCCAATGGATTTTAGTTTTTTTTTTTCCCCGTTGAGAAATGTTGAATGGTACCGCAAACGTCCCGTAGATGTTTAAAATAGTAAACAAAGAAAGAAGTGTATTTCAAGTTCAAAGGCGACGTCTCTAGAGCAGAAATTTGCCGGAACTTTTTTGCTCACGCCTCTGGAAAAGCGAGGACCCTTTTTTAGGGAAATTATACGTTGGGTAACTCTTACTTTTTGTTTCCCCGATTCAGTCACTCGTTTCTCATCTCTGTCAATGTTTTATCGAGTCGAAATCAGCAGCGTCAAACTTTTTGTTCAGTTTTATGCCGCATGGCAAAATCTTTCGACATGTGTCCAAAAATAGCGAAATCCCAGAGAATAGGGAGACTATTTGTATTAAAAAATATAAAAACTCTATTGCTGATAGACTAATAATTGCTGATCTAATAATTTTTTTATTCCTAATTTTTTTTTCGCTGGGAGACTATTTGACAAAAAAAAATGAAAATCTATCTAGAAACAACATTCGATTTCACGCACATTCAAATTTCGCAGTATATTATATTCGCGAAAGCTGACTAGCCAAGTGTTGTCTTTCTGTGGCTAGAAACAGTTAGTAGACGACGCGCACACAAATTGCGCAACTGAAAGTGTGCTAATTTACTGGCTGTTACGAAAATCCGCGAATGGAAAAACATTTGTTTTCGTTGCAGAATTCTATAAAGTCATTCTTCAATGTGTAAACTAGACTTGTGTCACTATTTCTGACGTTTTGTTTTTTTCGGTTTGCCCACAAAACTCAAACCCATCGGAGCCCGCATGCGACTTGAGGTGGCATCCATCATAAACTCGCGGCTCTGTGCGTCTATAGGGTTGATGCCACCCCAAATCGAATATCGGGCTGGTGCGGGTTATATTTTGTTTCAAGCTACCCTAATTGACATGTCCGTTTATATACTGGCTGCTGCGGGTTATATTTTAATTCAGGCTGCCCTAATCGAAATGTCTGTATCTCAATAACGCGTCGCGGAGCTGTATGCGAATGTAATCCGGAACAGGATCCTCTGCTAGCTCTGAAGTTTTCTTTTCAAATTTTGGACATTAAGTATTTATCTATCGATGTTTTTTAGACATCGCATTTATTGGACACGTGTCGAAAGATTTCGCCATGCGGCATCAAACTGAACAAAAAGTTTGGCGCTGCTGATTTAGACTCGATAAAACATTGACTGATATGAGAAAATAGGGACTGAATCTGGAAAATGAAGGGTAAGAGTTACCCAGATTATAACTTCCCCCTTTTTTATCATTTCCCCTGCCCTCCGTGCGAGGTGGGGCGGAACGAGATCTTGTGTGGCGCGGATCTCTTCCCTCAGACATCTGGCGCATTCCTGTCCCTCAATCGAGCGGGAGTAGGTGGTGGTCGTGCCTTGATGCGTGGTGGAAGGCGATGCTGAGGCTGATGCTGTCGTGGGTCCACCAGCGTCGTCCATCTGTTAGTCTCGCTAGTTTCACCTGAGCCGCTGGTTCAGTGAGTTCTGATTCGACGAGGTCGCCACATCAGCTCAACAGCTGGAGCTGAGAAGGCAAGTTCTGCTGTGTGATGGGAGATTCAGCTGCCCGCGTGACAGGTAGACTCGGTACTGTACATTCTCCCGCGCATATTGGTGGCCCCACCCACGTCTGTCTGCCAAGTACAGTACTTTCCAGCTGGCCCTACTCCACCCACCACCACCATCCTGCCCAGCGACAGGCCTTTCGATGTCGTTGAACAAGCGATTCTGATCCGTCGATTGCGATGCGCCCAAGATTCGATGGCGGGCTTCCTGCCATCCATCACACATCCTTTTCCCCTCATTCACGTGCCGCAACCATTTTCTCCTTGATTTCGGCTCCGCTTTTCCCAGGGCTTCACGTAGCCACCCATTGTGGTGCCATCAACGGCACACACGGCACAGCAACTTCAGAAATGTGAAAACCAGGAAGTGGAAACTCGAGGAGGGACTACAGTCCAGCCTAGAGAACTCCAGGAGTAATTAGTCTGTCGGGATTCCCTGGCCTTGTTTGTGAGTGGTGGTGAGTACAGAATTGAAGCGGCGGCCCTGGTTGACGCTTCAGGATTCCGGTTCGGTTGCTTTCCCATTGATTCCAGGGCCGTTGTGTTCTTGTACCAGTACATGAGTGATAGTTACTGTTGTCGATACGCTGAGGCATAAGAGCTTATGCAACAACAGGATCAGGAGCTCCCTCGGAAACTTGACATCGGTCTGACATTGACGTTTCATTCGGTCACTGACTATTTATTTCTCATCCCAGGGACGCTAGAAGCCCAATTCCTTGCAGCCTAAGACATCGAGAGTCGGATTCTTCCCCTGTCTGATTCAGCGCCTGTCCCAACCAGCCTTAGGACAGGTATCATATTCTAAGAAAGTAACTTTCAGACGTTACTATCGAAGCGTGTTGCTATCGAAGCGTGCGACGAGCGACGTGCGACGATGTCGATACCAATGGAAGACGTCGTCGCTTGTTTGGGATTCACGCAGGCGGACAACCCGCTAACCCGCGCCAAAGATCATCCCAAGGTTCGGCAACCCCCCTGACAGTTCGACTTCTAGCTTCTCTAAGACTCCAGATACTTTCTTTAATTCTGTCCGTCGTTTCGACCATTGCCGTCTGTGTTTCGTTCCGCGTCGGGAGCGCGCCATGCTTTGCCGTCTGTTCAGCATTCTGCTGTCTGTCTATTTTTCAAGCACTTGAAAGATCACGGCTAATTTTCGTGTTTCAGAGTCAAACATTGGCTGGACCGAGCAATGCACTCCTCTTTTCTGTGTCTGCTGCTCACAGATCCCCACACGCATTGCCTACACCGAGCAACACACTCCTCTTTCTTGTGTCTGCTGTTCGCAGATCGCACACGCCATGGCTCAGCTAGCTGTGGAGCAAGCTCAAGACTCCATCACAGCGTCGCAGAAGGACGCCGCCGAACAGGTGTGACTGAGAACCTGATCGCATGGTAGCACTTAGAAGTTATGCGGCTGTTTTTAGTTTCTGCGACTTCCTAGGTTCTGCGACTTTCGAGGTTGTGATCCTCATCGCACCTGCTCGCATGCTGAAGTGCTGCGACATTCGTCACCGAAGCAAGCTGCTGAGTAGGTGCGAACGAGAGCCTGAACGCAGGCCAGATCGCATGGTAGCAGTGCGATTTTAGTTATTACTTTTCTTGAAGGAGTTTCTGGGTCGCAGCAATGACAATAGCGGATGGCAAGAAAACGAGACTCCCCTGTTCCCTCCCCCCACCCCACCCTCCTCCAATCCCCCCCTCGTCCCACTCCGCCTCCCCCCTCTCGCCCGCAGCTAATGGGCCTGGTGGTCGCGGAAGGCGCGGAGGAGCAAGCAGTGGCGGAGGCAGCGGCGCAGCTGCTGGCGATGACAACAGCGGACAATACGAAGAAGCCCCTTGTTTTCGTCTCTTCCCATTCCCTCTTCCCTTCTTCCCTTCTTCCCCTCTTCCCCTCGTCCTCTCGTCCTCTCGTCCTCTCTTCCCCGCTTCCCCTCTTCCCCCCTTTCCCCGTCGCCCCACAGCTTATGGGCCTGGTGGTGGCGGAAGGCGCGGAAGAGCAAGCAGTGGCGGAGGCAGCGGCGCAGCTGCTGGCGATGACAGCAGCGGACGATAAGAAGAACCCGCACCTGATGCACGTGGACCGTTGGATCACCACGTGCTGCACCGTGCTGAGTGAGTGTGTGTCACGGCAGCGGAATTCGTGTTGTGAGGCGCCTCAAAGCACCTCCCGTCCCTTCCCTCTCATTCCCTCCCTTCCCCTCCCCATCCCTCCCCATCCCTGCCCATCCCTGCCCATCCCTGCCCATCCCTGCCCATCCATTCCCATCCCTCTCCCATCAATTTTCATCCCTTCCCATCCCTATCATCCCTGCCCTTGCATTACCCACTCAACCTTCCCCCCTCCGCAGAGCGGTGCAAGCCAACGAGTGACAGCAAGAGACGGAAGAGCAGCTCACAAGCCGACGCCGCGGAAGCAGAGGCAGCACAGACCGCAGCAGCAGCCGGGGGAGCAGCCGGGGGAGCAGCGGGGGCAGCAGTGAGCGAGTCGCTGCTGGTGTGCATGGCGAGCTGCCTGGCGGATCTGATGAACAACCCGCGCAGCACCATAGTGTGCAGCACACGCGCGCAGGAGATCTTCCAGTGCCTGCAGGTGCGTGGCCAAAGGGGTGCAGTGCGGTACCCGTGGGTCTGACTGGGTGAAAAAGGTCTCAGCTGTTGTGCATGGCGAGCTGCCTGGCGGATCTGATGAACAACCCGCGCAGCACCATCGTGTGCAGCACACGCGCGCAGGAGATCTTCCAGTGCCTGCAGGTGCGTGGCCAAAGGGGTGCGAAGTGCAGTTTGGGTGTGTGGTGTGGGTGTGTGGTATGGGTGGGTGATGCATCAGAGGGGTGCACTGCAGTGCCTGAAACCGAGAGCGTTCGTTCCATAATTTACCCTCCCCACCCTTCCCCCCCCAACCTCCTCCCCCTCCCCCCCCCAACCTCCCCCTCCTCCCCTCTGTCGCATATTCCTTCTCCCTGGCTCTCTCCCTCTTCTCCGAGGACATGCTACCCTGGGTCCTTCACCTTCTGCCCCTGGCGCCTCTTATAGGTCACTACCTCTTGCTGTTCCCTCTCAATGGGAAAGCCGGGATCTACTAGCTATCCCCTTCACTGCTTACCCTTCCTTTGCCTATCCTCTCATCGTGGATCTAACATTTGCTCAGGAATGCTTCCACTAGCAACAAAGCATACAGGTTTTCCCACGGTTCTTGAGAGAACAAACAAAGTAGCTAAGCAATCGCGTAGCTCTGGTTTTGTTCTCCAGCACTAGAGGAGACACCCTGAGCCGAACCCAACCCTCCCCCACTGCTCAAGCCGCCTGCCGTTTCGGGGTTTTCTCCACCGTGATGGCTCCCGGAGATTCAGCCATCCTCGCTCCAATCCCCTCCCAGCATGCCTGCTTACCGTGTCGCTCCCAACCCTGCTGACCTGGATGACGTCAGCTCTCCACCCCTCCAACTGTCGCCCTCCGTGCCAACCTCCAATCCTCGTACACCGCACTGTACCTCTAATCCCAAAACTGCATAACGCTCTCTACAGTAAAAGCTCCACTCAACCTACCTACAAACTTCAGCGCTGTCCCATGCACTCTTAGGACCTCATGCGACACCTCTCCTCCCGTATGTTCCGTTCCTTGCTGCACCCATGAACCAATCCGCTCCTCCTCACCCCTTCTCTCCCCCTCCCCTTCCGCCCCCACCCCAAGCCCCACATTCCCCCCCCCCCACACCTTCTCCCCCACTCCGTCCAGCCTGCGCTACTCCTCCCGAACGTCAGTAACCGCCTGCTCTACTTCCAGGTGCGCTGGGTCATATCAGAGGTGCTGCACCCCTCCCCAGTACCCATGAATTATCCACTCCCTCTGTTCCTCCCCTCCCCCCCTCCTTCCCTTCCCACCTTCCGTTCCTCCTCCCCCTTCTCCCCCCCCACCTGCCAGCCTGTGCTACTCCTCCCGCAAGTCAGCAACCGTCTGCTCTACTTCCAGGTGTGCCGGGCCATTTCCGAGGTGCTGCACCCCTCCACGTGGCCCATGAACCAATCCGCTGCGGTGCCCAAGCGGCTGCTAGAGAGGCTCATTGACCTGATCACCCCTGTTAAAGCCTCTGCTGGTGATGGCTCAGGTGGTAAGGATGCTGCTAGCGGTGCTGCTGCTGCGGAGCCTATCTCTGAAACTGGGTCAGGGGAGCGAGAGACTGAGGCAAACGAAACGTCAGAATCCGAGGCTGCTGCTGCTCATACCGCCTTGGCAAACGGCACAGCTGCAGCAGAGGTAGCAGCAGGGACAGCAGCAGCAGCAGCAGCAGCAGCAGCAGCAGCAGCAGCAGGAGGAGGAGGAGGGGCGGCAGCAGCAGCAGGGACAGAGGAGCAGGAGACCCCAGAGGGCGATTTGACGGAGTCTCTGATCCACATGCAGGCGTGCAAGGCGCTGCTGGTGATGGCGACCAACGGGGCAGCGGATCTCATCATAGAGCACGTGCCGGGGGTGATGGGTGCGCTGGAGAGGTTGAGGCAGGAGTCGGGGGTGGAGGAGGCGGTGGTGCAGGCTGATGCCGCGCTCATGTCGCTCTGGCTCTCTCCTAAAGGATATGCGCTTTCCAACCCAGAGGTGAGGAGTCCCAAAGATGTTGTCTAATATTTTCCTTAGTGTGAGGTGGAAAGGTTGAGGCAGGAGTCGGGGATGGAGGAGGCGGTGGTGCAGGCTGACGCCGCGCTCATGTCGCTCTGGCTCTCGCCCAAGGGATATGCTCTGTCCAGCCCAGAGGTGAGGAGGCGCCGAGGTGGTGGCTTATGCTTCAGTGTGAAGGTTGACTGAACTAAATGAGGCAGGAGTCGGGGGTGTAGGAGGCGGTGGTGCAGGCTGACGCCGCGCTCATGTCGCTCTGGCTCTCGCCTAAAGGATATGTTCTGTCCCACCCTGGGGCCTGGGGTGCGCATACGCTCGTTCCAGCTGCTTAGGGTGCCAGGCCCACCAGACCTGGTAGATAGTCACCAGGACGTCAACCTGCCGCTGTGACTCAGTTATTCACTCGTCATGCCCTCCCTCCTCCTGTCAACTCTCCTCTTCCCTGTCCTCCCCTCGCACCACCCTTCTGCTACCCGCTCCCTTTGCCCCCCTTGTCTCACCGGCCCCCCTTCTCCCACTGGTGCGCCCAGTGGTGGTAGGCAGTTCTCTGTGTGTCCTGGACACTCCCAATTCGGTGGATAACCACCAGGGCTTCAGCCTGGTGCTGGTGACTCAACTCGCACTGTGCATTCCCATCCGTGTTCCACTGCTCCCTATAGCTGCGCCCAGTGGTTGTAGGCCATCTCTTGAGGGTTTTGGGCTCACCCGATCTGGTGGATAACCACCAGGACATTTCTCTGCCGCTGGCGATCACCTCATACTGCGTATTCCCACCCGTGTTCCACTGCTCCCTCACAGCTGCGCCCAGTGGTGGTAGGCCATCTCTTGAGGGTCTTAGGCTCTCCTGACCTTGTGGATAACCACCAGGACGTCAGCCTGGCGCTGGTGACGTCAACCATCAATCCCGACGCCGCCACGCGGGCCAGCATGCTCCAGCTGTATAGCGGGCTGCTGACACAGCAGCTGGAGCTCACCCACATCCTGATTGGCCACGTGGATGACACTGACAGCCTGGCACACCAGGTGAGGGGAGTGGAAGAGGGGGGGGGGGGGGGGGGAGGGGGAGGAGGGATGGCAGTGGAGGCATGAGGAACTGGGTTCTGAGACTGGGTGCTGAGACTGGGTGCTGAGACTGGGTGCTGAGACTGGGTGCTGAGACTGGGTGCTGAGACTGGGTGCTGAGACTGGGAGCCGAGACTGGGTGCCGAGACTGGGAGCCGAGACTGGGTGCCGAGACTGGGTGCCGAGACTGGGTGCCGAGACTGGGTGCTGAGACTGGGTGCTGAGACTGAATGCTGGGATGGTCATGAGATTGTTCACCGGGGTGAGACATACTTCGACAAGATTCTGATTTGACGTGAGAGTCCCGAGACGTTAGGATGCTGCTCCCTGTCCTCTCCAGAACCTCTAGCTACACCTCGACTACCACCGGCACTCTGCGAAACAACACCCCAGGACTAGCACCCTCGGACGCACTACCCACAGAACGAGCACCCCCAAAACTCGCACCCCTAGAACCAACCCTCCCCCATCAACCCTCCCCCGCCCCTCCCCTCCCCTCCCCCATCAACCCTCCCCCTCCCCCTTCCTCCCTCCCCTCTCCCCCCTCTCCTCTCCCCTCTTCCCTCTCCAATCTCCCCTCGCCCCCCTCCCCTCCCCCCTCCCCTCTCCCCCCTCCCCTCTCCACCATCTCCTCTCCCCTCATCCCTCTTCCCTCTCCCCTCGCCCCCCTACCCTCTCTACTTTCAAAGCGTGGCATGTTATGTGCTGCACATGTGAGTCAGAGGACTGTGCTAATACCTTCACAGCCAACCAGATGGGCTGTGAGGCAATAGTCTCCCCTCCTGTTATCTCACTCACACAACCCCCCTTCCCCCTCCCCCCCCCCCCCCCCCGCCACCACCACCACCACTCACTCTCCCCCCACCCCTGCTTCCCAGAGCGTGGTGTACTTTGTGCTGCACATATGCGAGTCAGAGGACTGCGCTAAGACCTTACGCCCAACCAGGTGGACTGTGAGGCATTAGTCTTCTCCCCCCCCTCCTCCTGTCACCCCATCTCCCACTCACACACCCCCTCTCCTCACCTCCCCCTTCCCCTCTTCCCAGAGCGTGGTGTACTTTGTGCTGCACATATGCGAGTCAGAGGACTGTGCGAAGTCCTTCACGGCCAACCAGACGGATTGCGAGGCGCTTGTGGCAGCGCTGGTGGTGGCAGCACAGGCGAGAACCACTACGCGCCCATCGCTGTCTTGGTTCGCCTGGCCAGTAGGCCTAGCACCAGGTGGGTGCCCTATTGTGCCCTTCTTGCATGTGGTTGCATGGGGTGTGTGCGGCGTGTGTTCTGGGACCGTGAAGCACTGGTGGTGGTTGCGCTGGTGACGACAGCTCAGGCAGAGAATCTCCACTCGCCCATCGCTGTCTTGGTTCGCCTGGCCAGCAGGCCCAGCACCAGGTGGGTGCTCTACAATACTTTTTGCTTGTGCTTGCGTGGGGTGTGTGCTTCGGTCTAGTGCATGTGCTGGGGCCATGAAGCGCTGGTGGTGGCGGCGCTGGTGGTGACAGCACAGGCAGAGAATTATCACTCGCCCATCGCTGTCTTGGTTCATCTGGCTAACAGGCCGAGCACCCGGATGGTGTTGTGCAGTTTGTGTGTGCTGCTGTGGGTGTATGCAAGTGGTTCTGCGAGCTGCATCAATACCAGAACGCTCAATCGCCTGGCAAGCCACTCCTGTGGAGGCGCCTCATAGCTAGGCTCTTTCCTTTCCCCCCACCTGCAGGAATCACATCCTGACTCACATTGACACCAGAACCGCTTAGGAGGCGCCTCATAAATTGACTCTTTCCTCTCCCCCCTCTCTCTCCAGGGATCACGTCCAGACTCACATGGACACCAGAATGCTCAATCGCATGCGAGCCATTCCTGTAATGGCGCCTTTAGACCCTGTCCCTCCCACCCCCCGACCCCCCATCTCCAGGGATCACGTCCTGACCCACATCGACACCAGAACACTCAATCGCCTGCGAGCCATTCCTGGCACTCGCGCTCGACGAGAGGTGAGCTGCGCTTTTGTCTCTTGCCTGCTGCTCACCTCGCTGCATTGCCTGGCTTCTGTGATCTCCTCCCTCCATCTTCCCCCCCTCCCTCCCCTTCCCTCCTTTCTTCCCTTTACCCCTCCCCCATTCATCCCTCCCCAATCCCCGTCTCCCCTCTCTCCCTCCATCCCTGCTTCCCTCCCTCCATCCGCCCTCCTACCTCCCTACCCCCTTTCAATATTCTGTAGCCTGCTGCACTGCTCGCTCAACTCTCCATCTCTGTTTGACCATCACTTGTCCACTGCACTCCCACCCTTGTGCCATATCCACTTCTCACAGCTCCATCCCTTTCCCTCACTTCTCTCATTCACCCCTCAATCTCCTTCCCTTTCCTATCATTCCTTTGCTGCAGGTTGTTCAACTGGCCACCGCGTTTGCAGAATACAAGGGCGAAAAGATCGACCCTCCGGAACGCACAGCCTCTATGCCGACTGAGGAGGAGGAATCCAAGGAAGATATTTTGAGGGACATTGTCCGGAGCCAATCCACGAGGAGTCTCAAAGCCAGGGCAGGGGGAAGTAGCTGCGAGGATCTGTCAGGAGCTGTAGCGAGTGTGGCAACAGGAGTTGCCAAGATTACTGTAGATGTGGCGGATGCATGAAACAAACCATGACGGGGTTGGCTCGGAGTGGTGAAGTTGCTGCTCTTGCTTTTCCCTGTATTATAGGGCAACTTTTGGTAGCTTGGGGAGGGGACGCTGGCGAGTGACCTTTTCCTTGTGTGTTTGAGTAGGTAGACTCAAATTTTTTTTGTTCTCTAAAAGATAGTGCTTCCATAGAATCGTGCATATAGCATTGCATCATTTTTTTGTGCCTTGAATCCGTATAACTGGTCTCAACTCTCAGTTCCACAGTAGTTGCACTCATGTCCTCCTTATCGCGGTTGTGCTGTTGATGTGGGGAGACTTTACGGCGTCAAGTTGACGACATTGTGTGACCTCTGGTTCGACGGGTTCGGCCAAAATGACACACAGGCCGTCATTGAAAGCTTGGACATGCTGAACGAGCGACGGTGACAGACAGACGGATTGATTGAGATTAGAGAAGACGGAAGAGCACCGCGCGAAGCTGGCATTGGGATTGTCAGTGAAGTGCTGTTTCCGCAAGTCCCCAGAACTTCAAGTACTGGTTCTCAGAATTACTTCCACCATATCTCAGCTGATCTCCTTTGCTCTAGCTGATAGTATTGGAAACCACGCCATCTGGGTCGAGAGCGGATTGATTTTTATAGCTTATCCCGTACCGACGCGGCATCGGAAATCTGGTCTTGCTACATTGCTCTTCGAGAATAACGCCGTTGCGTTACGCGAACAGCGTCCGAAACTGTTACGTCTCGGTGTCCTCAGTAAGAATAGCTCTTTTGCCAGAAGGCGTTAAGTTTCGGTGGAGCCTTGAAGCTTCCATCCATCCCTTATCACGTGATCTGCGCCGTTGTTAATGAAGCTGGTGTTATATTCGAGGCACTACGGTCACGATCTTATCCTGTCAACCTTACCGTGTGTCACAAAATTACGGACGAGGGCTCGTTCGCCGTTTCCAATGCAGAGCCAGCATGTCGAATCAGACCGATTTACCAAACCGACGCTCCCCGGTCACTCTAAAAAGGGCAGCGGGCCAACCAATTCATATTCCCTAGAAAAGAAAAGGCTGTCGCTTGATAGACCTGACAATCTGGTCAATTCGAGCTTTCCAATACATGCAGCTTTTTCCGGTCGGAGTTGCTGATTCAGCGGAGTTTGCTCCTCTTGAATATCTTTCAATTCGTATCACAGAGTTTTCCCGCCTAGCGCTTTCACACCCTCGTATTCGGTAACCGGAAGGAGCTTACCAGAAAGAGCAGGTTCGGTTCATGGGACTGGGGAGACGACGGGAACAGACTCCCCAAGGAACGCCGCAGGACAATCCACGCACAGACGTTTGCCATAAGTTCGCCAAGTCCCAAGGCGTGGCTCCTGTTTCAGCGAAGCCAAGCAGTGTCGCTGGGATGGAGGGCAATAAGCCGCAGCGGAAGAAAGCATCAGCTGCAGCAGCAGCAGCTCCAGCAGCAGCAGCAGCTCCAGCAGCAGCAGTTACAGCAGCAGAAGTCCCTGCAGCAGCCGTTTCTGCAGCAGCAGCAGAGGATGGGGTGCGACCAACAGCAGCAACGAAGGTTAATCCTGGTGAATTGATATCGCTGATTGACGCTGAAGCTCCGCCTACCCCACCACCGTCTCACGGGCACTCTTTCCCAACCGGAGCTGCAGATTCGCCTGCAACTCCTCTCAGTCTCAATTCCTCGGCGTCCTCTTCACTAACATCTTCGTTAACAGCAGGAGGTTTCTCTATTTCGATTTCAGAATCAGAATCCGGTGCAGGTGCAGCAGCACTGGTTCCGTCGTCAGGTGATTCATCCTCGTTATTGGATCTCAGCGTGGACGTATATGGAGGCATGGATCAACTGTACCTCAAGGCGGCTGGCATGCGCAGTGACTTCACCATCACGTTTGGCGCTTCAGTTCACTACCAGCTTCACAAGTTCCCCCTCTATTCCAAGGTGGCAAGGCTTTTTTATACCACTACGGGATTGGTTGACATTGCTTGAGTCTAGCTTTGCTTTTGCTTTTGCTTTTCGTTTTTCCCTTTCCCTGTCTCCAACCAGGCCTCTGTTTTTGTGTTCTGCGTGCTTGCGGTGCATGCGTGCATGCGTGCGTGTGTGTGTATGTGTGTGTGTATGTGTGTGTGTGTGTGTGTGTGTCTGTGTGTGTGTTCCGTCAGACTGACTATTTTTCGCAGCATGCTGTAGAGGAAACGAGCAGCAGGAAGAGTCCAGGTGACCCAGAGAGCTCCACCAATGGGAAGCGAGCTCGGCTCGACCTCTCTAACCTCCCAGGCGGGATTGAGACCTTCAAACTCGTGGCGTGTTTCTGCTATGGCGTTCCCGTTACAATCACTCCTGCTAATGTCACAGCTCTCTACTGCGCAGCGATTTACCTTGATATGAGTGATGACCCCCGTGCTGCCATGTGTGGTGGGCCCTACGACTGCAACCTGCTCACCCTCGCCTCTCGTCACCTCACCTCCTATCTCTCCCACCCCCGGGCTGCTCTCACCGTGCTCCAATCGTGCGATGCCAGCTCAGCGGTGCGAGCGAATGCTGAGTCAGCAGGGCTGCTGCAGAGTGCAGTGAACGCAGTGGCTCGATTGGCTGTGAAAGAAGCGGAAAGGGATGGCCATATGGGCGACGGCACTGAGGATGCTGCTGGTGGTGGTGGTGGTGCTGCTGCTGCTGCTGCCACCGGGGCTGCTGGTGCTGCCGCTGCAGCTGCTGGAGTCTCGGCTTCTGTTTCTGGTGCAGACAAGGCGAAGGGTGGAGAGAAGGCCAAGGATAGAGCTCAAGCGGACGCTGAGGTGAAGTCAGAATCTGCTGCTGGCGCAGGCCCCTTGTGGCTGTCGCCCCAGCTACTGCAGCTGACCCTCCCCACGTTTGTCACGCTGCATGGTGCAGTGAGGTGAGGACACCTGTGCGCTGAGAAGCAGACAGCAGAATTTTCCTCCTGCCCCATTTGTCTCTCGTGCTTACCATTCGTTTTATCCTTCTTCCTTCGTTTTATGGGTATGAGCGCGGTGCATCTGTGTGCTCTGCTGGAACAAAACTCTCCTACTCATCCTCCCTCGTTCCTCTCCTTCCTCGTCTCCTCTCCCCACCCATCCATCCATCCATCCATCCATCCATCCATCCATCCATCCATCCATCCATCCATCCATCCATCCATCCATCCATCCATCCATCCATCCATCCATCCATCCATCCATCCATCCATCCATCCATCCATCCATCCATCCATCCGCCCATCCATCCGCCCATCCACCAGGGCCATGGGTATGAGCGCGGTGCATCTGTGTGCTCTGCTGGAGGCCTACTGCAACACGTGGCTTCCCTTCCCTGTGGTCAGCCCCTCGTTTTACCGCCTGCTAATCCCTGTCACCCCTCGTTATTAGCCTCAGGATCAGCACCCGCGTCCACTCATGCCATTTCCTACAGTCACGTCAGCATCCTACTGACCAGTCGGTCATTTCCCAGGCCTTTCATATAAATTTTCCACCCTTATGTCACACGCTATAGGATTCTCCCCCCCCCCACCCCCCCGCCCCTGTCTCCCTCCCCTCCCCTCACCCTGTGCATCTCATCTCTGCCATTCCCCTCCATTCCTCCGCTAATCAGGACGTCACATCCACGTCAGCATCACTGTCAGCCACGCCAGCTGACGCCCAGGCAACGTCCACGTGGAAGGAGACTCTAGAAGCAGCGGTTTTGCTGCTGGTCCCGCTCTCTACGCGCCCAGCGGCCTCAGGAGGAACGGTGGCCTCACGAGGCCCAGCAGCCTCAGGAGATGCCCTGGGGCCGCCTTCCATGCAGCTGCTGGTGCGCCTGCTGCGGCTGTGCCCTGAAGTGGATGCCAGTGAATCCTCCAAAGCGCAGCTGCAGTGGTGAGGCCTTGCTTGTGTGAGTATATTGCTGCTTGCGAACCAATTGTCTCCTCTGCTGCGGCTGTGCCCGGAAGTGGATGCCATTGAATGCTCCCAGGCCGAACTGCAGAGGTGAGTGCTTCATGGGAACCAATTGTCACCTCTGCTGCGGATGTGCCCTGAGGTGAAGGCCAGTGAATCATCCAAGGCCCAACTGCAGAGGTGAGGTGAGGCGTTGGTTGTGCGAGTGCAGTGCTGCTAATGAATCAATTGTCATCTGTGCTGTGGCGGTGTCCTGTGGTGGAGACCAGTGAACTTCCAAGGCGGAACTGCAGAGGTAGCATGCGGCTTCCTGTGCGCCCTTTCGTAGAGCGTCTGAGTCATGTCCCGAATTCCGTATCTCTCTTTTGAGGCGCCTCAAGAATGGGCTTCTTTGCCTTTTCACAGAGCGTCTGCGCCATGTTCCGGATCCCGCATCTCTGTCATTTGTCAGCTGAGAGCCCGCATCCTTCTCAGCTGCCCCTGGTTTGCTGCCTCTGTCTTCCCCCTCTGGTTTGCCCTCTGTCCTCCCTATCCGCAGCATGATCGGCCATCGCATCACAGAGTGCGAAGTCGATCACCTACTTCCTCTCCCTCCCTCGGAGATCCTCGCTCTCCTTGCTATATTCTCATCTGCTGCTGCCTCAAGCTCTTCCTCTGCTGCTGCAACGATCCCCACAACCGGTTCTCCTAACACAGTTGGTGAAGGCAGAGATCCCACCAGTCTCGCTCAAGCTGCGTCCCTTGTTGACACTTACTTAAAGGTGTGCTTGACTAATGCTGCGTTTACCTAAAGGTGCACTTACCTTAAAATGCGCTTATATTAGCGCTATTGGATGAGTTTTGAGAGGTCTCAACACACTTACCCTAAGGGTGTGCTTACACGAGCGCCATAGCATGATAGAACAGCACATGCTGGCACATTTCAACTCCCTCCTTGTTTTTCCCTTCTTTCGCCGTGTTTCGCCTTGTTTCGCCGTGTTTGGCAGGTCGTATCTACCTCCCCCAGCGCCACCGCTATGCTTCCTGACTCCTTCGTCTCCCTTGCAACAGCACTGCCCCTTTCCTGCCGTCCATCACACGATGCTCTGTATGAAGCAGTGGCAGCTTATGTTGCAGCCAGAGGGTGGGGGGTGGGGTCTGGGAAGGCAGGGGGAGAGGGGATTGGAGGTGGGGGGAGAGGAGGAGATGAGGTGAAGCTGCTGGTAGGACTGATTCAGCCAGAGAAGCTTTCAGGTACTAATTCCTTTCCTGGCCAGTCCCTTAGCCACCTTAAACTCCCCCTGTCCGTTCATTTTCCAACCCTGGAGTTTTGCGGCTGCCACACCCCCTGTTGTGCCTGTGGCCTTCACCTGAGTCGATCCTGCCGTTCCATCTCATCCCCCATCCCGTCCCCCGTCCCACCCCCCATCCCGTCCCCCCCCCCATCCCGTCCCCCGTCCCGTCCCCCATCCCACCCCCCATCCCATCCCGCATACCCTCCCCCCATCCCATCCCGCATACCCTCCCCCCATCCCATCCCGCATACCCTCCCCCCATCCCATCCCCCATCCACGTCATTCAGAGCCTGTGGCTGATATTGCTTCGTCGACCTCCCTTTGGCCACCCTCCTTCACTGTAGCAGTGCTGACGTGGCAGAAGCAGGTAGGCCAGCCAATTCCTGTCAACTCAAAACGAATACGCTGACGTCCTGCCATACGCTTGTCCTCAGCCAGATTCAAAACGAATTCCATAAGTATCCCTTCTATATTCTCAGTTTATCTGCATTCTCCAAATCATTCCCCCACATCTTTCCCGCCAATCAACCCACCTCCCTCCCTTCCCACTCTTGCAGGGAAACCCTCAGCTGCTTTCAAGCCAGGCGCAGCAGCTGGTGTCGGGGACCTTTTGACTTTTGAGTTGACTCAAAAACCACATCCCCCAGCCAATCAGCCTATTTCCCTCCTTTCCCCTCCTTCCTGGCAAATTCTTCTCAGTTGCTCGCAAGTCAGGCACAGCAGCTGGTGTCGCTGGCCAGAATCCTACAGCAGCAGAGGGGGTAGGCGGAGAGGGAGAGGGAGCAGCCTCCTTTGTGACGCATCCCCCCTATGAACTCACTGTTTCTCCCTTCCTTCCCATTCTTCCATCCCAAAATTTCTTCCCATGCCTGGTAATCCAACTCCCCACCCCAGCTGCTAGCACGCCAGGCACAGCAGCTGGTATCACGGGGCAGAGCGCTGCAGCAGCAGAGGGAGCAGGCCGAGAGGGAGAGGGAGCAGCTTCGGGGGGAGGAGCAGCAGGTGCAGGGGGAGGTGGAGGAGGAGGAGGTTAAGGCTGTAGATGTGAGGGCGGATATAAGGCAGGAGACTCATGGGCTCACTCAGGCCCTGGTGCAGGTGGTGATTGGTTTTTGGCTGAGTTCTTGCTGGGAGTTGGCTTGCTGTTGTCCTGGCATGGTAGCTATGTGCAACCCAAAGCGTTTCTCTTGTGGGTGGGATGTGGATGGCCAGTTCAGATTGCATCGAATACGGTTATCTAATTTCCTGTAAATTGTGCTATCTCTCTATTGCAGGTGAGATCAAGCATATCTGACTTGGAACGCGATGTGGCTGCAGCACTTGAATCAAAAGCTCGCCCAAAGGTACGTAGGGTCTCTAACAAATTAACAACCTTCTCTTGCAGTGTGGTTCTTTTATGCTCAGTTCTCTGACAACCTGTAACAGGGGACCATCACCCTGTTACCACCCTTCATGCTCTGGTTTACGCAGAAGCCAACCAGTTTTTTCCGAAGGCTATTTCAACGGTCTACCCAACGAGCTCGTTAGGAACCCAGAAGACATAAAATCTGTGGAGCGTTTTGCTGGTTTCCGCAGGATTTGAATCAAGAGATGTTTGATTAATATGTACATATTGTAGGACATGAGTGCACACCAGCACCGATTATTTCAACAAATTAACTCCTGCGCGGCTTCTCGCCTTCGGAAAGGAGTTCCTTCAAACACACTGCTCGTCAGCCTGAATCCACGCGGCAGAAGCTGCACCCTCAGTTGCCAGCGTGGCGAAGAAAATTTCGGTATTATCACAAATGCAGCTGCAAGGACGACCTCTGGGGCAATGCTTGCTCTGGAGTCTGCTTTTGAATCAAGCAGGAAAAACTCCGCCCGTCGGGTTTAGTAGATTTTCTCAGCCGGGTATTGATGAACTGACCGTGTAGCCGGGAAAATGTGGGTAACTTACGGGGCTGAACCCCAATAAACACGAGAAACTTCAAGCAGCAGCCTTAACTCGGGGGAGAGCCGCACCGCGAGCCGCGCGCGCAGCAATCCGTTCCTGAACGGCCCACTCGAACACGGAAGGCCCGAACGCACTCGAGGACGTGGACGCCGCGGCTCGGTGGCGACTGGAAGCCGGGCAATGCGTGCTACCAGTAGCACTACCAGTCGTAGTGGTTGAGGATCGACCAGTGTTCGATCCCGCGGTCGATCCCGTCGCTCGGTTCCACATCGCCAGCCGTCGATCGCTCCTCGCTAGCCAGCTGAGATCTGCGGCGGCGATGGTCCCTGCTGCGCCGTAAGACGCGGAGCTGCTGCTGCCGTGTCTGCCGGAGACGGTATCGGCTGAAGCGCAGCGCGGGATGTGCGAAGAAGCGGTTTGAACGGCTGGGATTGGATGCGACGCCGGCGACGTTGGGGTTGACGAGGAAGTCGCACACGTGGAATCGCCGCGCAGCCGCTGTGCCGCGCAATGATCGATCGCGGCAAGCTTGGATGGCGCTGCTGTCAGATCGAGGGATCTCCGCCTGAATTCCTGGGAAAAATCCCGTGCAGTAGCCATTTTGCTGAGATAACGAAATACTCGCTGAGAATGATACACGTAGCTGCTGTCTCCGTGCGTACTGAACTGACCTCTGAAGGTTTGGTTGCGGGAGAGGAGAGCTAGAATAAGCTACAAGAGAATGCCGATGGAGAAGTGGTTGATCAGCAAAGCTGAGTGGGTGGTTATAATGGCAGAGCGAGCGAACCTTATCCCCTTCAGCAGCGACAGCTCACGCACGAGCCAAGACCCACAAGCGACGAGAGGACTCGCTCACCCCTGTCACAATGACAACTCATGCGCGGCCCACAGCGCACGGCAGCTCAAATGACGAGGGCCCCGCACCGCACCGCACCAGCGATCAGATGCGGAGGAGAGGGAAGGGGAAAGAATGTGGGGGATAAGGGGTGGAGGGGGGGGGGGGGGGGGGCTGGTCGGGGGAGTAAGGGCGGGAGGCGGGAATGTGAGTGGGGTGGGGAGGTAGGGGAGGTGGTTGTGTGCAGGATTGTGGGGGGGTAGGGAAAAGGGAGGGGCAGGGAGGGTGTGGTGGAGAAGGGAGCAGGGGAGCGCGGTGCGGGTGTTGGGGGAAAGAAGAGCGGGAGGCGGGGGTGGGAGGTGGTGAAAGGGACCTGCTAGGACACTTGGAAGGACACCAGGAAGCAGCGTTTGCTGGTGGTATTGTTTGTCTTAATGTTACAAGACTATGCTGAACAGAATAGCTCCTGAAAGGTCCCTTGAAGGACTCACATGAGTTGTCATTCAAAGTCACTTGATTGTCTTGAACAGTATCGCGGATGTATTAACGAAGAAGAAAAAAACATAATATATCATTCTGTACTATGTAAAGGAAACTTTTTGCACCATGCGTGCAAAACAACAGCTTCTTGTGGACAGTAAAATCCGCTTCAGGGAAACAATAAGCCCACATGTTCCCCCCTCCCCCCCCCCTCCCCCCCAATCCCCCCCCCCCCCCCCCCCCCCGCCCCCGACGAGAGCGCCCCTACACAAGCCAAACAAGAACACCACCTGGACGCGTTTTTCGACTGAATATCGTGTGACGTCTACAGTAACAACAGAATCTAGTGAGAACGCGCAAAATATTCAGCAAATATTCCTACTGTCTGGAATCTGCCCGAACGAAGTTCAGCATGGCGAGAGTTCGTTTCACATCAAGAATAGTGTCAATAGACCTTGTCAATTCGGCCTTGAAATACCCAATAGCCTACCAGCGGTGTTCATGCCCCTGCTACACTCTAGCTCAAAGTACAGAACAAATATGAGGAAATTCCCCTCTCCCCAGCCCGCCATCCGGATGATATGATTGCAGCCGTACTGTAGAGATGCTGATTGGATCTACAATCTGATTGGGTTTGTAGAAGAGGTCATTGTCTCGACTCGAACACTGGAAGCCAACAATGACCTTCAAGAGGAGAATCCGGCCGAACAGTAGATTCACTTGAAGGTCATTGTCTCGATCCCTGGAAGCCAACAAGAGGTTGTTTGTGACAAATTTGAGCAGCAACCCGCCGCATAACACCAACCGCAACCGCATAGAGTACAATCATTCCTTTGAGAAATGCCAAACAGACTGGCCCAGTCACAGGAGTTCAGTTCTTACTACGTTCTAGTTAGGTGCAATACGGTTCGAAATCGATCTGACGGCCTGTTAGGGCGTGGAACATACAGTTCCGAACTTCTAAAAGTCCCGACAACCAGATTGATACACCTTTATTCCATTAAACGTTCCATTCATTAGACGCTAAATGTTTATATGCAGTCTCATTGGTTCGAAGACACGGGCAATGGCCCAACCCACAGAGGCCCACTGAACTCCAACAGTGACCACATCTGATACTGAGACCTCCAAACGTGCAGACGGGACGTTTTGAGGCCTCACACTTGCCCGAGGAAGGCAAAAGAAACAACCATGGTAACCCGCTTGACTGAAAAATGCTGTTATGAATTAGGAAGTGTAAATGAAATATAATGTGAGAATACAATATCGCTATTGCAATGAAGGCATGAGGTTATATAGGGGTTGACGTATTAGGGCGATAACCTCGGAACGTGGGTAGGTTCGGTAATGTGGCGACAGTACCGGACGCGACTCGGGAAAGGGTTGGGCCGATAAATGAGGCCGAACGTGACGAGTCAAGGAGTTCGGGTGTACACGCTTGCGTACGACTCAGTAAGGAATGGAAATTCCTTACAAATGCCAAGTAGGTAACCAGACTACCCTATATTGACCAATTTCGCCCGTGAAAGTTTTGCGCTCGATACTGGATTACCCTCCCGAAAACAAATCTAGACTTGAAAAGGAATTCATGTGTAGAGTGATTTATAAAACATTTCCGTCCTATTCAAGTTAGATAAGGGCGTATCACTAAAGTACGTGCCCTGTTCAACACCTAGTTCAGTTACCACTTTTAGGCATGTAACTATAAAACACGCCCGAATACGACACGCCCAACTCACACCCAAAATTGGCGGACACAAGCGCACGTTTCCAAGTACCTCCGCACGACAAAAATAGACCGCACAAAAATCCAATTCGCCATCCAGTACCACCACCACCTCAAGCGAAATTGCCGCGCGACACTTTGCGGCCTCGCACGTCGCTAGCGAACAACTTTCCCTTCCAAATCCAACACACCCACATAGTGCAAGACATAGCATACCAAATTTACTACCGCGACATGTCGCGACGGCGAATGATAGTACTAGTATTACGACAATAGAGTCGGCTAAGTCCCTGGCAACGCCTATCATGGACGACAGGGTCAAATATCAGCGTGAAGAGCGGAATTTCGCAGCGCGTCTACGGTAAGAAGACAACGTGCGGGTAAATTTAAGCATTGAGGCGGCACGAGTTTGGAGATGACGAGACGCGTGTACCATCAAAGCATGGCAAGTTTTAATGGAAGCTTTTAAAAGAGATCACAGAAGCAACGAGGAAACCTCTAGCTCACAAAAGTACGCGGAGAAAATATACTACTATAAGAAACGGACAGTAATGGAGGCAGAATCATCTTACAAGCACCCAATGATACTATCCTAAAAACGGCGGTCACAAATCTGTCATGAATGTATGCGGGTCTCCAATCGGTCAAAAGATTGTCCCAAAAGAATCTCGAAGATCTCCCGAAAGTGTCCCAAGCATGACATGGCACGAATCTGAACAAAAATTGTCACACTTCCATGCAAAGCAAACTTCGTCCGGGACAGATTTCTGACGGATTCTCTTCCGCACCAGGTGCCAACTTGCAGGTGAATGCAACAGAGGTCGATCGGACGGCTCATATTCCAATTTTCCGGATAAAATTCAGTCTACCGTTAATTCTTTTTATCCATTTCATTGCCGTCAGATCATTTCGACACGTATCTAACGGCCCAAAACGTCGGAGGCTGATTCGGCCGTTAGATTGATTTCGAGGAAATTGAACGGTCGACAATCCAATCCACTGCAAGTTATATTTCTTGCACTCGCGAAAATATTGAATTTCGTATAGCGCCGGGAACATCTTCCAGTTTCGTGAGCCCGCAAATCAACTTATCCATAAAACCTCAACCACTTCTCTCATTTTGCCACGTCAGCTGCTGCTCTGTTCCATCTTCCCCAACCAAACCATCTTTCCCAACCACTCCATTTTTCCCTCGCAGCTGTTCCACTTCTCTCTCTCAGCTCCAACCTTAGCCGTTTTCCTGATTCATTTTCGTAAACCTGACTGATTAGCTCTAGTATTTCTTACGTCTAGCGCTTTCTTTTCGTCTCATTAGTACGCATTCCTTTGCGCAGGATTTATTAGAACTACATCCCGGACCTCTATAACCTCTTAATCGCAATTTGCCGCCCCTTTTTTCCCATGCATTCCTCCAAGTCTGCGTTAAGGACGGTTGCGGAGGCCCGCGCTACGTTTCGCTCGTAAGGTTAGTACTGTGACGTGTGGCTGTGCGTAGCTGATGTTAATCTCGTTCTACATTTAAGGCTAACAATGTTTTTCTTGCATGTAGTTTCGTTCAACCTTTAGGGTGCATGCCGTTTTTCTGCCCTACAGCGTGGATCACATTTGTTCATGCCCTCGAGCATAGCTTCGTACGCTTAGTATTTTACAGCGGTGCAGGAAGGTATTTCGGCCACGTCAATTCTAATTCTGATAGTGGCTCTTGCGGCGCCCCGTCTACGGCCTGCGCCAGGCTCCCCGTGAGTGGCATGACACTCTCCGTGCTACGCTTGCTGACCTGCAGTTCTTTCCGTCTTCCACAGACCCTTCACTCTTCGTTCGTGCTGGCCAGACTCCGTTCTACATCCTTGTTTACGTCGACGACTTGGTCTTTGCCACAGCAGACAGGGACGCACTGGCCTCCGTGAAGGCAGAGCTGCTGTAGAGACACACGTGCACTGACCTTGGAGAACTGCGCCGCTACCTTGGCTTGCAGATCTTCAGGGACAGAGCATCGCGCACCATCACCCTGACTCAGTCACACTTGGTGCGCCAGGTCCTTCAGAGGTTCAGCCTTCAGTTCTCCTCTGTACAGCTCACCCCTCTGCCTGTAGACCACAGACTCTCTGCTCCAGTGTCTGAGGAGTTGGTAGAGCCCAGCGGCCCCTACGCAGAGCTGGTGGGTTGCCTCATGTACAGTGGCGGAAACAGTTGTCCACATGTTTAGCATATTTTCACATTTTGACGAGCTGTACGCTATAAACATTAAGCCTTAATTCATGGTGGCCATACACATAGAGAGGAGCAGTTAGAGCACTCACTCAAATCTCCTAAAACCAGAGTAGTATATTTCATGGTCCTTCAAGACGACAACATTGAATAACAGCACATCCGGACAATTTGTACCGGGGACAAGCAGCAAACTAGTTACTAGCAAAACTAGTACCTAGTCAACCGACACTTGGCCTTGATCACCACCTACACCCTCCTAGGTATGTTATCTACGAGGTTAGTGCAAACCTTTACAGGGATCTTCTCGCACTCTTCCTGGACCCACGCTTTTGCATAAGGGGGTGAGCACTAGGAAAATCGCAAAGTATTTGAACGTATGCAAGAGTACTGTGCACGATTTCATGTTGAATGTTATCTCTAAGACTAGCCATGCTGAGGTGTGGCCAAAGATGCCATTAGTCGATTGGTCTCGTCTTATCATGGATCGTCTTCATCGTACCGTTGTAGGTAAAAATTACGAGCAGAGTGGCGAAAAATTGCGTATCTGCCACGAAACTTAGGGTAACATAGCACGGTTGGCAGTGCATCCTTGCACTCTTAGAATCACGCTAGGATCCATAGGTCTCTGAGCGGTGCAGCAGTCAAAGTACTCGTGACTAGTGGGGAAAAATATCCGGGTTGAGATCTGGTGAGGAAAAGGGTCACTCCAACGTAACATACTCGTGTTCTCTAAGCCATTCGAAGCCATGTGTCCCGCCTAGGCTTGGAATGGCTTGGAGAGCATGAGTTTATAGCACTGGAGTGACCCTCTTCCTCACCAGACCTCGACCCGGATATTTTCCCCCACCAGTCACGACTACTCCGACTGCTGCACCGCTCAGAGACCTACGGATCCTAGCGTGATTCTAATATTGCAAGGATGCACTGCCAACCGTGCTATGTTACCCTAAGTTTCGTGGCAGATACGCAATTTTTCGTCACTCTGCTCGTAATTTCTACCTACAACGGTACGATGAAGACGATCCATGATAAGACGAGACCAATCAACTAATGGCATCTTTGGCCACACCTCAGCATGGCTAGTCTTAGAGATAACATTCAACATGAAATCGTGCACAGTACTCTTGCATACGTTGAAATACTTTGCGATTTTCCTAGTGCTCACCCCCTTATGCAAAAGCGTGGGTCCAGGAAGAGTGCGAGAAGATCCCTGTAAAGGTTTGCACTAACCTCGTAGATAACATACATAGGAGGGTGTAGGTGGTGATCAAGGCCAAGTGTCGGTTGACTAGGTACTAGTTTTGCTAGTAACTAGTTTGCTGCTTGTCCCCGGTACAAATTGTCCGGATGTGCTGTTATTCAATGTTGTCGTCTTGAAGGACCATGAAATATACTACTCTGGTTTTAGGAGATTTGAGTGAGTTCTCTAACTGCTCCTCTCTACGTGTATGGCCACATGAATTAAGGCTTAATGTTTATAGCGTACAGCTCGTCAAAATGTGAAAAATATGCTAAACATGTGGACAATTGTTTCCGCCACTGTACCTGATGACTTGCACTCGCCCAGATCTCGCATACCCTCCCAGCATCCTGGCGCGCTTTGTGGCCAAAGGCAGACACCGACCGCAGCACTGGTCTGCCGCTAAGAGGGTTCTGCGTTATCTTGCTAGTACATCGGGCATGGGGTTAGTGCTTGGAGGACGCAGGCCAGTGGTCCTTACTGGACACACAGACGCTTCGTGGGCAGACGACGCCGAGACACTCAGGTCTACCCAGGGCTACTGCTTCAGCCTTGGCTCAGCTGCCGTCTCGTGGAGAGCTACCCGCTCCTCGTCTGTTGCGCAGTCCAGCTGTGAGGCTGAGATCTACGCTGGTGCCATGGCGGCACAGGAGCTCCGCTGGCTGACCTTCTTACTCACTGACTTAGGTGAGCGGCCTAGCTCTGCCCCGGTCCTGTTCGCTGACAACAGGGCCATGATCCTCCTGTGCCAAGAGCCCCGACTCGAGGGCAGAGCGAAACACATTCAGCTGCGGTACTTCCTCCTGCGTGAGCTACAGCAGCGACGTCAGGCTCGCGTAGTACACTTGGCCTCAGGTGCCAACACGGCTGATATCTTTACGAAGGCGCTTGCGCCTAAAGATCATCAGCGGCACTGTGTACAGCTTGGTCTAGTTCCTGTAGCCTCTTACTTGCTAGGACCTTGACTTTGTACTGTCCTTTATATGTATACTCAGACTGGACTTGTGTCCTCTCCCAGTGGCTGGACTAGTAGTGCCGCCCTGCTCTTGTTCTTGCCTTGTCTGTACTCCTTCTGACTGGTCTCTCAGACCCTTGTCTCAGAGGTCGGACTAGTAGTGCCGCCCTGAGCTGCTTGTTTAGGACATTCCCCTATGCAGTCTAGGGGGTGTGTCAAACATGTGTATTTGTCATGTTTGTATAGACTGTATAGGGTTACCTCTTAGAGGGTACAACACTTAGGTATATCTGTGTGTACTCTCACTCTACTATTCACTTCTCTAAATTCTGATAGAGGTGTCATGCACTGAGAGACAGCTGCATATGAGGAGATCTAGGGCGCTGTGCGGTGGTATGTGAGTTGCACCATGTGTGCTGGAAGCCACATCTGCAACATGAGTAGGGTTTTCTCACTGTGCTCTATCCCTCACTTCATCGCCTTATATGTGTGCTGCCACTGTGTTATGTTGAGGCACGAGTGCAGCCTGGACCTGGACCCAACCTAATCTTATCTCAGTTCCCCCCCCGCCCCTCCCTCTCTCCCCCACTTGGCTGCTCGGCTTCAAGATGTTTCTGGGCGTGTTGGCCCTTGTGACCAACTGGAATGTGGAGGGGTAGCGAGTGCAGTCTGGTGCTGGGCCCTCTTTGACGTGTCTACTCCCCTCCCTGCCCCCCTCTCTCCCCCCCTGGAACGCAGTGGGGCTTTGTTGGCCTGCCCGTGTCATGCAGCTCACTAGATTACTGCGACTTGCTGTGTGGGGTCATGCCGAAAGTGCAAATCACCAGATATAGCAACTGCAAACGTCTGAGCATTTGGTTTTGGCTGGCTTGCAATAATTTCTCGAGTGTAGACAAAATGAATACCCTTACAAGACCTAGTGCTCTACGCCTGGGCTTCAGCCATCCAGTGTGACCTGCACACTGGCCACCCACTGCTGAGGCACAGCAAGAGGGGAGAGACAGACCAGACATCATTGCTAAGGCATATCCAAAATCAGAGAAGTGTTGTTGATAGAGTGAGAGTACACACAGATATACCTAAGTCTTGTACCCTCTAAGAGGTGACCCTATACAGTCTATACAAACATGACAAATACACATGTTTGACAAGGCACACATGGGTGCTGTGCTGCGGTATAGGCATGTGAGGCCTGTGTGCTGGCGGGGAGCCGCACCATGCACACCTTCTATTAAAGCACCCAGCAGACTGATATGAAATGAAGGTGGTGTCGTACTGTAAAATATCAGAACTACTAACCAATTCACATAACACGGTAACTAACAAGAGTAGCGAAGAAAAAGCACTCGGTCAAGGTGTTCTAAGGCTGAGCTACCCTGCACACACATGACTTGCAGCCCATGGTTTCGATCGGACGAATGCTGCACCCCAATTTTCAAGAACGTTTTTGCATGCCCTAGTGCACTCCTGTCCCGACCCGACTCACTCCAGTCAGCTCTTCCCCAAAACCGGCTACCTCTCCCCCCCTCACCCACCCTCCCTGCTGGCGTCACTTGTGAGTCCCCATCCTTTGCCATGATACACCCCCAAACCGGCTTCCTCTAACAGAACCGTGGCACGCCTGAGACAATCTTCCGAGGTTGAAAAGTTGAGTGCAAATGCTCCAATTCCCCAACACTGGAATGAAACTTCAGCGCTTCTTCCTCAGCTTCCCGCAGAGTGAAAAGTTGTTGTTTTGATGAGACGCAACAAACAGATCGTTGCCTAAGAGAGAAACATAGTACTGGATACCTTGCTGCGTCTGGGCCATAGTCGCGGGGCCAAATTTCGTCCCCGCAATGAAGCTGTAACGGTTGACCAGATGACCCCGGTTGCCTGCAATCCTCTGATATGGGTCACTATTCCCGTACTCCTTGTCGTACATACCCTCCAGGCATGAGGAATGGACACGCACTTGAGGCAGACTCCCTCCGGACCGGATGTTGTCAACGCGTACTTTCATCACAAGGAAGCTTCCATCCACGGCCCTGCCAAACGGACAAGGGCAAAAGCAGCAGGGGCAGGAGGACGAAAGAAAAAAACAAGGGGAAGAGGACAACGTGGATTCACGCTAGCCAATCCATGTAAAGCACAAGACATGAAAACTGCTGCCTAAAGCTGGAATGGATAGAAAGAGGGCAGCACAAAAAAAAAAAACATATCTTACTTCACTCCCTTAACCCAGGCTTTCCCGGTTGCTCCTCGGTCTCCAACCACTTTCCCGTTGCTGCGGGTGGGACGCAGCTTGGCCACATAGCACACTGGCAGTGGGAATGGGAGGGAAGGCAAGAGGGAAGGCAGGGGGAGGCAAGAAGACAGGCAAGTCGGGAAGTCATTGGAAGGATGCCCGAGCATGGGTTGTGCTTTCTAGGAATGCTAAGAAGGTAATCTGTCCAATCATGGAGCCGGGTGCGTCGATACCTCACAGCACGATGTGGCCCACCTAGGCGAAAGAATAGTTGCCGTATCCAGATACCTAGGCTACATTCTACTGTTGAAAGCGCTGTGTTAGCACAGGTTGAAGGCTCCTACAGAGCACCTATCCTTGCACCAATCCTAGCACCACAGGCTATGGGATTGGGAGAGCAGGCAAGATGCGAAAGCCCCGCAAGGCACTTACCGAACACCTTGCCCTTCACCACGGGCCAGCCGTGAGTGAAGGCGATGCCAGAGAGGCTGTGTGGGAGGGCCGCTGCCAGGGACGCGAAGAGGGACTTCGGGGGGAAAGTTGAAAGGGACGTCAGGGGAGACGTCGAGGGAGACGTCGAGGGAGAAGTTGGGGGAGGAGTTGGTGGAGATGTCGGGGGAGACGTCAGGGGAGACGTTGGGGGAGACGATGAGGGATCCACCGGAGGGGACTCTGGATCGGATCTTGGTGCAGACGCTGCACCTGCTGCGACGAGCGCTGCGCCTGCACAGAGCACAGCAGCAGCGAGCCAGGGCAGGGCGAGCATTGGTCAGTACTTCCACTTGGGCTGCTCTGGACGGGCGGCGGAGCCATGAGTGCACTTGCCAGGGGCGTCAACGGCTGGATGGACGGACGCTCACAAATGAACACGCACTGCCAGTGGCAGTGGTAGGAGATCGTTGCTCGGAGCGGCGCCATGACAGGGAGATAACAGGGAGATGACAGGGAGATGACAGGGAGATAACAGAGGGATGATACGAGGCGAGGCGTTACTACAGGAGGAATGTTTCGAGCAGGCTTGCTTTCAGAAGCGGAGCAAACGAGGCGGCTCTCAATAGAATACGAGCAAACGCGGTGGTGGCTCTGACTGACTGACGAGTAAAAGCACTGCAGGTTTGCTGCTAAGAGCATGCGGTATATTCACACCACGCCCTTTGAGTGATGCGCGTCACTGGAGCGGTGGCCGAGGATTGAAAGAGGAACGAGCGGCGCAAAGGCTCGTCAAGAACCGCTCATGAGATTCTTGGAGGGACGTCGTCGAAGCTGCAGGTTCGCTGTTTCGCCATGGAGGCGACTCGTACTGGCGACGGGGGCCAGCCGGACAGGTCAGCGGCTTGCACGAGCACGGCGAATTCCCGCCTTGCCTTGCGCAATACACGTGCAAGTGACGGTGGAGGGATTGGCCTCAAGCTGGAATTGGCTATGCGTGGCTACTGTGGACCAGAGATTCAAGAACCTGAGATCGGAGACGCTGCCAACTCGATGTCTGGGAACGACCAAAAGGTGTGAAACGCATTTCGTGAGCCGTCGGATGTGCAGGTTGGTTTGATCTTGATGTGCGAGCTGGGGCGGAACCGTACAGGAAGCGAGGCGATGGTACCGTTTTGGGCAAGGCTCGGTCAGTGAGCTGAGCAGTCTCCCCCACAGGTCGGCTCCGAGAGCCAAGACGCTCCATCCTGCTCCAGCGCAGCAGTGTGGTCAGGTCCCTCCCAATACGGTGCACCCTAGTCTGCTGTCAGTTCCTCGAGGCTGCACTGTGATCGGCCTCAAGTTGAGTCGAGAACCTCGCTAGATTTGTGTGCGCCCGCCATAGCGGATCAAGATTCAAGAGCTGCGTTCTTGGGTGATCTGGCATGTTGCTAGATGACGGCTGGAACGGCCGAAAGATTTGAGGGCCTCATTTGTTTGGATTATGAACCGTCGGATCTGCAGATTGGCTTGACGTTTGTGCGCTGGTCGAGTCCCGGGCCTCACAACCAGGCTCACCGCTTGCCTCTGGGAACACTGGTTGGGCAATCCCGTAGCGCAAGGTGAAGCCCGGGATCGATTCGTCGACCTTAGAGCGTATCCAAAGTGTTATTTTAGCGGATAACAGCGGACGACAGAAGAAATCTCGTCAATGTCATCCGTCCTTACGAATGAAAACGGTTGAGATCTATTCTGTCATCCGTTGTCAGAACACTTTGGACACGCTCTTAGAGAGTTGCATTGTATTAGAGGGGCTTCAACTGCTACAGCAGTGCCAATGCACACAGTGCAGAACTCCTAAGTACTAGTGGCAACGAAAGAACACACCACCTTCCTTTTCTAGCCTCACCACTACTCTGTATCTTTTCGGGGTGGCTATGCGTCCGGCTAACCCTGTTCAACTCATTGCCAAATCGCTTGTAGCCTAAAAGAAAATGGTGATGGTGTCATGACTGGAAGACCATGTTACCATACGCACACCCTAAGGCTGAGCTATCAGAATTAGATTTGAATAATGGTAAAGTGAGAGTACACACAAATATACCTAAGTGTTGTACCCTCTAAGAGGTAACCCTATACAGTCTATACAAACATGACAAATACAGATGTTTGACACACCCCCTAGACTGCATATGGGAATACCCTAAACAAGCAGCTCAGGGCGGCACTACTAGTCCAACCTCTGAGACAAGGGTCTGAGAGACCAGTCAGAAGGAGTACAGACAAGGCAAGAACAAGACCAGGGCGGCACTACTAGTCCAGCCACTGGGAGAGGACACAAGTCCAGTCTGAGTATACATATAAAGGACAGTACAAGTCAAGGTCCTAGCAAGTGAGAAGCGACAGGAACTAGACCAAGCTGTACACAGTGCCGCTGATGATCTTTAGGCGCAAGCGCCTTCGTAAAGATATCAGCCGTGTTGGCACCTGAGGCCAAGTGTACTACGCGAGCCTGACGTCGCTGCTGTAGCTCACGCAGGAGAAAGTACCGCAGCTGAATGTGCTTCGCTCTGCCCTCGAGTCGAGGCTCCTGACACAGGAGGATCATGGCCCTGTTGTCAGCGAACAGGACCGGGGCAGAGCTAGGCCGCTCACCTAAGTCAGTGAGCAAGAAGGTCAGCCAGCGGAGCTCCTGTGCCGCCATGGCACCAGCGTAGATCTCAGCCTCACAGCTGGACTGCGCAACAGACGAGGAGCGGGTAGCTCTCCACGAGACGGCACCTGAGCCAAGGCTGAAGCAGTAGCCCTGGGTAGACCTGAGTGTCTCAGCGTCGTCTGCCCACGAAGCGTCTGTGTGTCCAGTAAGGACCACTGGCCTGCGTCCTCCAAGCACTAACCCCATGCCCGATGTACTAGCAAGATAACGCAGAACCCTCTTAGCGGCAGACCAGTGCTGCGGTCGGTGTCTGCCTGTGGCCACAAAGCGCGCCAGGATGCTGAGAGGGTATGCGAGATCTGGGCGAGTGCAAGTCATCAGGTACATGAGGCAACCCACCAGCTCTGCGTAGGGGCCGCTGGGCTCTACCAACTCCTCAGGTACTGGAGCGGAGAGTCTGTGGTCTACAGCCAGAGGGGTGGGCTGTGCAGAGGAGAACTGAAGGCTGAACCTCTGAAGGACCTGGCGCACCAAGTGTGACTGAGTCAGGGTGATGGTGCGCGCAGCTCTGTCCCTGGAGATCTGCAAGCCAAGGTAACGGCGCAGTTCTCCAAGGTCAGTGCAGGTGTGTCTCTTTAGCAGCTCTGCCTTCACGGAGGCCAGTGCGTCCCTGTCTGCCGTGGCAAAGACCAGGTCGTCGACGTAAACAAGGATGTAGAACGGAGTCTGGCCAGCACGAACGAAGAGTGAAGGGTCTGCGGAAGACGGAAAGAACTGCAGGTCAGCAAGGGTAGCACGGAGAGTGTCGTGCCACTCACGGGGAGCCTGGCGGAGGCCGTAGACGGGGCGCCGCAGGAGCCACTGGGTCCCAGGAGGGAAGGTGCCAGTAAAGCCCGGAGGGCGACGCAGGTAGACCTGCTCGTGTAGGCTGCCCTGAAGGAAGGCAGTGGAGAAGTCGAGGGAGTGAAGCTCGTAGTCACGCTGAGCAGCTAGGTGTAACAGAAGCCGAAGAGTAGTCATCTTCGGGGTCGGAGCGAAAGTCTGGAAGAAGTCCACCCCCTCGCGCTGACTGAAGCCTCTAGCCACATAGCGCGCCTTGAAGACAGGCGGCTCTCCAGGAGGGCGCTTCACCTTGAAGAGCCAGCGGCCATCGACTACATTCACCCCAGGTGGGGGAACTGCGTCGACGAAGGTGCCGGTGGATCTCCAAGATGCCATCTCCTGCTCCATGGCAGCTATCCACTGCGAGGCCCAGGGTCCCGAAGTCGCCTCAGCGTAAGTGCGAGGGGTCGGGATGTCGAAAGCGTCTGGGTCACCCTCAGGGACTAGCAGCATGGAACAGAGATGGGGAGCAGCCTCGGAGAGGAAAGCAAGCTCGAACTGGCGGTCCTCCAGGACGTCACTGCCAAGGGCAGGAGCACCCCCGACAGACGGAGGACAGGCAGGGTCAGAGACCAGAGCGGTGGCGTAGTCAAGGCGGCGGGTAGAGGCGAAGTCAGCGACAGCAGCGACAAGCGCGTCAAGGCACGAGACCGGAACAGACGGGTCGGTAACGAGAGAGGCAAGGACCCGAGGAACGAGAGGACGAGCGGCACGAAGGTAGTCGGACAGCGGGGGGGCGCAACAACAAGGGAGGACGGAGGAGGCGACGGGAGAAGGGGAGGACGAGACGCGTGGGAACGAAGCAACATAGGGTGGGAGCGCAAGACAGGCGAGGCAGGACGAGCACGGGAGGGGCGGTGAGACCAGACGTGCGACGGAGGAGTCGGGTCAGGAGACAGGGGAGGGGACAAAGGAGGGGAACGAGGGGGAGACGAGCCGGGGACGAGTCCGGCGGAGGAAATACAGGGCCGTAGACAGGAAGAGGAGGAGACGGTCGGGGAGGAACCGACGCAGGGTCGGGGGACGGAAGGCCGAGCAGGCGAAGGGCGGACACCGGCGGGGACCGCTGCTGCGGCGGCACAACGGCGACACCTGGACCGCAAGCTGCTCCTCCGCGACCACCGGCACTCTCCACACCAGCACCCCCAGAGGGACCACCCCCAGGGCGACCGGGACGAGCACCCCCAGAGTCGGCAAACGGGGGCTGCGACGGCGGCGGCGGCGACGACGACGGCTGCAGCAGCGGTAGTGGCGGTGGAGGAGGGGACTGGGGAGGGGACACCTGGGGAGGGGCGGCCGGCGAGGACTGCACAGGAGGGCCACCAGAGTCAGAAGACTCCTCAACCGGGTCCACGGACGGAAGGGGGGTGACGTGGGACACACCAGAGGGGGCGGGACGGGGAGGAGGAGGAGGAGGAGGGGCAGGGACTACCGGGGAAGGGGTGACCAGGAACAGGGGGGGGGTAACCGGGGGACCACGGTGGGGAAAGCGGTGGTAGTAGGAGACGGACTCGTCAAAGGTGACGTCACGAGAGTGAAAGAAGCGGTGAGACGGCGGGTGGTAAAAGTGCCAGGCAGCCCCAGGCGTGGAACGCAGACGTGTCACCAGGAGACCCAGTCCAAAGACGGGTCGGCGAAACCTGCGGCTGCTGAGGGTGCGGCCACAGGTTAAGCTGGTGAGAAGCGTAGCGCACAGCGAACGGCCACAGAAAATGGGGTGCACCGGCATGGATCATGGAGGTGCGAGCGACCTCCATGACCAAACCGATGCGTCGCTCAGCGACCCCATTCTGCTGTGGGGAGTCCGGTAGGGTGAACGTTTGGGTGATGCCCTCCGCACGACAAAAGCGACCAAGGACACCGGAGGCAAACTCGCCACCCCGGTCTGAGTGAAGACGCAAGACAGGGAGACCGCGGTGGACACGCGCAGAGACAAGCCAGGGGATGAGAGCGCCAGGCACGTCGGCCTTGCGCTCCAGGGGAAAGACTGTGGTGTAACGAGTAAAGTCGTCGACAAGGACAAGGAAGTAGCGCTCTCGACGCGGCCCAGGGACGGGGGCCGGGCCCCAGACGTCCAGGTGCAGGGTCTGCAGTGGCGCGGCGGTAGGGGGAAACGAGGAGGAGTGAGGGGCACGGCGAAGCCGACCCTCGACACAAGGCGTGCAAGGTGGGGCTGGAGAGGAGGGAAACGCGGGGAGCGAACCTGGGAGACCAAGGACGAGACCGTGCTGGGACATGTGACGCAGACGCGGGAGCGCAGGGTGACCTAGGCGGTGGTGCCACAGGAGGGTCGGGTGAGTGAGGGAGCGACAGGAGCAGGCAGCAGCAACCTGGGTAGACGCAGCCACCTGAGGGGGCGCTCCAGCCGGGGGGGTCACGGTGTCCAGAGTGAACAGGCCGGACACCGGGTCCCGGGGGAACGTGGACAGGGGGGCACCAGTGGCGGCCTCGGTACAGACAGCATACCGCTCGTGGCCAGGGAACGTAGTGGTGACGCCAAGGTCCTGGAGGCAGCCGACACCAACTAGGTTCCTGGAGAACGAGGGGATATGCAGACCTGTAAGAGAACCCGAAGGAACCGCCGGACAGGGAAGGGTGGTGGAACTGCGGGCGACTACCGGACCGCCGGAGGGGTCAGCAAGAGAAACGGCAGCAGGAACAGGAAGCGGCGTCAGGGTGGTGGAGTCGCGGAAGAAACACCGAGAGGCGCCAGAGTCCAAGGTGAAGGAAAGCGAAGCCGAGGGGTCTGGCGACGGAACGACGGCGGAAGCACCAAGACTACACAAAGCAGGGGATCCTACGCCTGACGCAGCAGGGGAGGCTAAGCTAGGCACACCTACACTAGGCAACAGTG